GTTTTCCATTATTTCTTATGGGGAAAATTTGATCAGAACTGAAACTTTTTAGGATTCGAACCTGAGTTCTGAACGGATCAAGTTCGAGTTCTGAGGTACCACTGTATTAGACTAAACTTCTGAAACCTGTTAGATCTAACGTCCCGCTTGAGACAGATCTATCGTGTCTAACTGGATGGATTCCTGCACGCATCACGTCCTGAGAGAACACGCTTTGTACGATCTGTAGGTGTGTGTCACATGTGCATCCTGAGGACAGACCTTGTAATGGCTGCTCTGACCTGGCGCCGTGTTACGCTAAACAGTAATAAGCAGGAATAGGCAGCATTGCTGTCTAATTTTCTGAGCTCTATCTCTGGACTCCAGCAGCCTTTCTGCATGTCTGCTACATCTGCTAGCTGTCATTTTGATGTCTATGATAAGAGGCCGTCCTTCCTCAAGACAGACAGAAGCCTGTATAGCAGCCTTTTAGTCCCAAAGGAGCCTGCCTGTCAATTAACCTTTGAACCTTATCGATATCCCTACATCTTTCTGTTATTAGGGTACTTTCTGTTATTTTTTCCTGTTTTTAGTAAAAACGTCTCTGTGTTTTAAATTTCGAGGTAGAGCCTTTCAGGAAGTGGGCTGAATCTGACGACTGTCATGAAAGCCGCGTGGGACCGCATTTATCCACTGACGCTGAATGTACATCACCACGCGTGTCACACCGTGATCGGCAACGAGGCTCTCTGTGAGGGAACAGGCACTGCGGCATGCCGGCAAATTAAAAGCCATCCCAGGCGATCCTCCGGGCTACGGTAAAAATAAACACCTAGCATCAAACAAAATTCCTCCAAATTAAAATCTCATTAAAATGAGCATCAAAGCTCACGCCAGGATTAAACTGGCAGTTTGGTGTATGTTTAAGACGATGATAAAGAGTCATGCCCATGAAAGAAGAACAAGATTTTTCCAGAATCATCTATTCCACCATTTCTGAGAGAACAGGTACACCCAAAGCAAACAGAAACTAAAATCATACTGATGTGTTTCACCTTAAGGTTTGTCTACTTTGTTAAGGGCTTCACTACAGAGTATTAAAAGGAAGTAGTGTATTTTATACATGATAGAATCGGCACTTTTGATACTTTTGACAACAATAAATGGAAGTGGTGTTCCCATGTGCCTTATCTTTACTGTGAGGTAGTAAGCGTCACCGTTTCAGACATGTTAGTTAAGGGAATAAGGTGACCGGGACTGGACCGATCACTTGGTTTGGGTTTAAAATGGATCAGGGGGAGAGTTTTAACTTAATACCTGCATATTGCACATCTGTAAATCTGTTTCAAATCTGTATTATATTCAAAGTTCTATTTTTAAAATTTAATTTTAATTTTTTTCATATCCCTTGTAACTGTATACTTGCTTATTCCTTCTTATTATTCTAATGTTGCACAGTCAAAAGAATAGTTCAGGATACATTTCACTGCATGTTGCACCTGTATAACTATGCATGTGACAAGTAAAGAATCTTAAATCTTGAATCTTGAGTTATGGAGGATGAAGAAGTCTGCGGCCGGCACTGATGCATTAAACACAGACGAGCTGCTGCCCAATCACTGTCTCATTCAGTGGGGATAAGATTATTGCCATTGTTTTGGGCCTGTGATTAAAGAGCCTTGTTCCCATTTCTTGTGCTGGGTTTTGGTATTAAAGTCCTGCCATAGTTCTTATTGAAGCATTAGAAGCCTGACCCAGAAGTGGCTTTGGGTGTTTGGATGACTTGCATCTCTACCATTGCATTATTTTTTAATCTGTCAAAAACCCTAAATGTTCTGGGCAAATTTGTGCTTTAGGCTTGCAGGTATCCCCTCACAGCCATGAGGTCATTCATAGGCACAGATGCTGAGGTCAGCCTTCCGAACAGAAACAGGGACACCTCAGGTTCTCAGGGTCCGCATGCGTAATTACTCCATCCTAATTCATTCTTAATGAAACGCTCGTTGTGTTTTGAATTAACGACCGTGGAGCGATCATTAAACATTGACACCATGTGATACTCTGGAGTTGCGGCGGGTGAGCGACGCCGGGCTGGGGTAGGGCTATTGGTGGCCCCACAGCTCGGTGCATTAACATCGGAGTTTACCCC